CTCCTCGAGCCTGCTGGCCTGCGTCTGCCGCACTGTCACGCTCCCGCCTCCCTCGGCGGAGAGAAGGCCTGTGACAGTTTGCTGCAGCGACGCTGTTAAAATCTGCCCGGTTTGCACCATCACCAGAGATGAAGGGCTCGGGGAGGAGGTCAGCTCAGACGGGCAAGTCTGGAGTGACTGCATTCCTGGCTGGGCCTTGTGTTTGGCCCCATCTCCTGAAACCCTGGGGAAGGCAGGAATTTCTCGCCCCGGAATGGCTGGCTTCGCAGCAATGACTCGTGAAACTGAAATGCAAAATCCAGGGCCTGTTGTGAAGTAACCTGCCGCGGTCAGGGCTGCGGGAGTGTTCGTCTTGCTGGGACCTGGCTGTGGGGAGAGGAGGTGGGAGGATCTGCTCTCGACCTGAAAGCACTGAGGAGATGTGGTCTGTGCTCGTGCTGTAACTGCAGGCACCAACTTTGCTGCTGTTCCCTCAGACCTCGGCAGCAGAATAAAGCCCAGCTTTTTCCTGCTGCAATGATTTCTATCGCACTTTGATGCTAATTTTAGAGAGTCTAGAGCACGTGACGCATCTCCTGCCCTGCCCTCGTGTTCTCCTCGCAAATCCTTTTTGGCATCCACTTCTCTCATGACTGGTCCTGTGCCTCCCCCTCACCCTGTGTACATGATTCAGAGCAGGGAAGCACAAGGCTGCTGTCATCCGCTCTCTCCCCACCACTGCTTTCCTTCCTGTGGGAGCCTGACAGCCCTGGGCCTTCCTGCTCCTTCCCCTTGCATCTCCCTCTCCTGAACCGTGGAGAATGAAGGAGCCACAGAAGGCAGCAGAGAGACAGTCCCCGCACTGAGGCAGCTGGAGGAAGGCCCACAGCATAGCCCAGAGATGCTGTGAGCATCTCGCAGATCTGTATGACCATGAGGCACCACGTGCAGGATGTCTCTCAGCTGTTTCCAGCCTCGAGGAGGAGGCAGCCTAAAGCTACTTGGCCCGGGAGACAACTCTTCTCCATGCAGCCCAGGAGAGCCCTTCGCTGTGCTGGGTGATGGGAAGGGGGCTTCCCATCAAGCCTGAGCACCCCAGCGCCAGTGTGGGAACACCACCAAGTGCTCCTTTCCCTGCCTGGAGCAGGACAGCCACTTTGCGTGCACAAAGGATCTCTCCCTCCCCGCTTGTGAATGAGGCTTGTGAGATTTTGGGAGAATGGTGATCTCTGGCATCCTTTATTGCTATCAGATCCAGATGAGCGTTTGTCTGTGTCTAAGTCTCGCTGTTGCGGGGGTATCCCTCCTGCCTCTGCTCTGCTCCCACCACCCAGCCTTTGAAGCCTTCCTGTGCTGCCAGTGAGAGCTGATGGGAGAAAGGGAGCCCCAAGCACCTGCGAGGCCGTACACGAGCGGCGCTTTGGGAGCAGCCCTAGCCAACCGCCATCGGCTGCTCGGGGCAGCGGCCCTGCTCTGTGTGCTCTGCCAGGCCCTCTGCTCACTACTCCTCTTCCCCTGCAGGAGCGATTTGTGGACCTCTATGGGAATGATGCTGCTGCCGAGCTGAGGAAGGGCCAGGAGACCTTCAACAAATGGCTCCTGACTGGGGCAACTGTGGCAGGAGTGCTTCTGCTGGGATCTCTGCTGAGCCGCAAGTGACCCGACACCGAGTCCTCCCGTTGCCAGGAGAGCTGCGCCTTCACCGCAACATCCACTACACTCCGCTCCCCAACACTGTCACCACTGCAGGGGCAGACCCCCGCCACCTCCCGGGGCAGCTGTCCTGCTCCACGGAGCTCTCTTCCCAGTGCCGCCAGCTCCTTTTCTTGTAGCTCCTCTTATTTACCGTTCCGTTGTGTTTTAAAGGCGCTGAGACCAATGCAGCACTTCAGCCAACCGCTCCCAGCGCTGGGGAGATCCAGGCAGCTGGGGGGAGTCCTGGCTAGAAGGTGTCCCAGCCCTGCAGGATCCTCTAAACCACTTTGAGGAGAATAAACAGACTTATTTTTGCATGTGTGAGTGCGTGCGTGTGTGTAGATGTCTCACTAATATAAGGTTCCCTAGCCAGAGCAAGGGTCCAGGCTCTGTGACCCCTGCCGCGCGCATGCTGCGTCTCCGGCTCGTGGCTCAGCACCTGCACAGCGGCTCCCAGCCCTGCCCCAGGCTGCTGCTCTGCGGCAGCGGGGCTTCCTCTGGGCAAAGCTGCTCCCGGCGCTGCCGTGCAGCTTGCCGGGAAGTCGCGCGCCCACCAGGAGCAGGGAGGAAGGGCTGAGTGCTGTAGAGGCCGATGGCAAGAAGCTCTGAACTGGCCCATCTGTCCCCAAAACCCTTTCCAGGTTATGTTCTCGTGCCTGTTCTCCCCTGGCGTCAGCTGCTGGGAGCTGGGGCCCGGTCTCAGGTGTGTAGCCAGGAGCGTGTCAGGCCCAGGGCTGTGCCCCGGTGGGAAGGGATCGTCCTCCTCCCTCTTCCTCTGAATGTAGGTTGCTGTGGGGCAGCGCATGGCCCGCCGTGTGCCCACCCCGTCCTGCCCTTCCCGCGCTCGCTCCTGCAGGGCTCTGCGCTGCGCTTCGCTCTCAAGTTGGGGCTGGGCCTGGAGGCAGGCGGGCAGGGAGCGCGCTTGCCCTGGCCGCAGTCGCGAGGCGGGCGGCACAGGCGCTGGGGCAGGAAAGGGAGGACGCCCTGGCGGCACGAGGGGCTCCCCGGAG